ATGTTAACAAAGAGTTAATACACAAATAGTAATAGAATAAAACAGAGTGTTTAAGTGTTAAGACCCATAAACATATGATACTCTAATATATATTAAGGGAGTCAATTAATCAATATAAGGGGAAGGCTTAATTGATCTGTATGAGGTTTAGGGAAAATGAGTAGCAAGGGTGTTGGAGGGGGACATGAAGGCTGCCTCTCTTTTCACTCCTTCCAAATAACGTATTCCAGGTGGATCAAAGATTTAGGAAACTTGTTGGCTCCATGTAGGCCTCAGGCTTTAGGTTGCCCCTCCAACTTTGAGGGACTATCTTTAAAGGAAATGGCAAGAGGGTGAGATCCAAAAGATGATAAACTCAGACAGCCTATGGGTGAAATAAACCCAATGAGGTTTTAGTCTTAAGTTCCCGACTCTGTGGCTCCAAATTGGCTTGTCTAGAAACTTCCAAAACCTTTTCTGGAAACCCTGCTTTTCTCCCCTGCTTTGAAGCAGCCCTCATTCACAAGTTGCTCCCTCCCTCCTTCTAAGAAGGGCCCTTTGACAGGAAGAGCTCTACTCCAGGTCCCCACCTCTGCCACAGGGGACTTGGGTCATTCCTTTGCCCCCTGTGCTCAAATGGGGTGAGCCCTGTAGGCCTACAGAAAAACTCCACAGCTTCAGGAAACACAGAGCCAGAAATGCCATTTCTAGTGTCTTCACATTGGGCAGAAGAAGAGGGATGGGCATGGGGCTATTTATCCTTGAAACTGAGGGGGCCCTGGAATCTCAGCTGGCCTCTCTCTGAGGGAAATTCTTGGTTGGGACTGGGCCCTGGTGGATAAGGAGGGGAGATATTTGGAGACATTTCTAAAGCCTTGATCCTTCTTTTCCTGAATGAGTTATGTGCACCCAACTGTCCCACAAATGATAAAAGGGACACACAGATCAGGGAAGGTTTTGGAGGCAGCCTCCATGCCCCCCCAAAAACACTTGGGTACAGACTAGTCACTAGGGTGGAGGGAGGGTAGAATCTTAGACTCTCAGGGTCAGATCTCAGAAGTCCCCTGGATAACTCTCCCAGTAAGAAATCTGCTTCCCAAGCCTCACCCCTGCCTCCTTGATGGGCAGTGAGCTGGTCCTCTGCCTGCCTGGCCACAGTGTCAGAAAACTCCCCATTTGCCCTTCTTCTCTTTACACCTGTCTTCTCTAACTGCTACCCACCTGTCCTGGAGGAAGACAGAGCCACCCTTGGACTCCCAGGGGAAGCATTCTCTGTGTAGAACCTTCCAGACCTGTCCCCCTGGGACCCAGGGAATGGGCAAAAGAAGCCAAAGAAGGCTTGGTTCTCACGTGGCTGTGTGCATACAACCAGACACTCCGTGTCCCCTGCCCCTTCCACACACACCCCATCACCTCCATGGCAAACCCCTTCCCTGCACTTTGGGGTGCTCTAGGGTCATCGCAAGACTCTGAATGTGGAAAGAGAAGGGCTTACAGAGGACTGACCAGTTAACTTCCCACTGAACCCAGAGAACCAGACCCAGGCCAGCTCCTGTCCCATCTGAGGGGAGGGAAGGAGGACGGTGGAAATGGACAGATTCCTGTTCCAGAAACCAAGGGCCCGGTAGACACTTTCCCTCTGTCCATTCTGTCTGCCCTCTCAGCCCTGTCCCTTGAGGCTCTATTCATCCCCCCTCTGACTCACTACAAGCTCACCCAGGGTACAAGTGGAAGGTATTTGTGACCTCTGATTCAACACCTAAATTGTCAGTAACCCAAGGGTAGGGTTTTAATCCATCTTAGTCACTATTCTATACAGAGTACCTAGAAGAGTGCTTAGTACGTAGTAGGTATTCATTGAATGTTTACATACTTCTTAAATAAATACATACCACTTTTTTTTTTTTTTTACATTTCTTGAAGTTAAATATTCACCGAGAAGGACTGATGGTCCCACTTCATTCATTGATTCAATGAACACATATTGAGATTTTCCCATGTTAGTCACTTGGTACACAATTACAATGGAGAGTTAGTGCCTCATAGCCCAGAGAGGTGGGGTGACCTGCCAAGGTCACACAGCAGAGTGTAGCAAAGAAGGACCAGGCCCTGGGCTCCTTGACCTCTGGAGCCTAGATATCTTTCCATGACACCATAGACTTGAGATGGAAAGCCAGGGCTTTTTGGCAGCACACACACCCAGCCTGGCGCCAGGCAGCAGGGTACTGTGGGGCCCATGCTGAGGGACAGACAAGTGCCTTGAAGCCAGCTGCTCTGGGTGACTGGCCTGGCCAGAACCTGACTGCTTCCAGCTGTCTCAGTTTTTGTGGGCTCCTCCAGGAGAGGGCACCAGTTGCACACCAGGGCCTGTGCCCTCCCCACGCAGGCCGGCGGATCCTTGGATGCAAGCCAATTCATGCCCCAGCTACGGACACAGGCAGGCAGGAGACAAGTCATGTTCCGGGCTCTGTACCAGGCCCTTTTAAATAGTTAATATTCATTTTAATATTTAATATAATATTTGAATACCATCACAACCATGTAGGATCGTGTAATTCTCTGCTCAAAACACTGAGATGACTTCTCATTTCTCTAAGAATAAAAATGCCATGGCCTGCAAGATGCTAGGCCATCTGGTGCCTGCCAGGTGTCTGATCCAGTTTCCTCCACTTTGCCCTCACTCTCTCTAGCCTTGCTGGCCTGCTGGCTCTTCTGGGAGCCCACGAGGCATATCCTCACCTAGCCTGAAGCCATCTCTCCCCGATGTCTGCATCATTTGCTTGCTTCCCCCTTCAAGATTAGCTCCAATGTTCCAACTCCACCCACCTTATTTGAAAGAACAAGCCCACCTCATATTCCCACCCCCACTCAAAGTACTTAACTCCCAAAATACTTATCTCCTTCTCACGATCTTCACAATTCCTTTATGTCTGTTGAATGTCTTTTCTGGACTATAAGCAACCTGGGGGAAAGGAATCCTTATCTGATTTGTTCATAGCTATAGTCACAGCTCCTGGAAGAGTGCCATGCACACAGTAGGAACTCAAAAATATTTGTTGAATAAATAAATTCTGAGTTGTGCCACTCTCATTTTGCAGATGAGGAAACTTGAGGCTTCGAGATGCTCAAGATCATCTGGTCTCCATTCAACTAACTGACCAACCAGACAAGATTCACAGGTTACCCACAGCATTCCACATGATTGTTTGGGGCACGGGGTTAGGAAACTTCAGGTTTAATTAGTTTTTTAAAACAGTCTCTATTCCTTTGTTCTCGATATTCTGTTTGCAATGTTTTCTCCCACATTTTTACCTTTTTAGAATTCAATTTACATTGTAAAATTCAATTCATCATCAGTGGTTGCCTGGGGATGGTGGAGGGGGTGTGGTTGACTACAAAGAGGATTCACAAGCAATATTTAGGGTGGGGGAACTGCTCTGTATGGTCCTGGGGTGGTGCAAGTATGACTCCATGCATTTGTCAAGACCCAACACAAAGAGTAATCTTTAATATATGCAAACTACAAGAAAAAATTATTCCTCAAGGCTCTTAATCTCTATGGATATAATTCAGTATTTAAATTGTTTCTGCTGTACTGTGCTGTGTGGTTTTGACTTCAGCATCCTAGAATGAAGGAGGGGATGAAAAGGTAAGGGCTAGAGTGCCTCTCCCATCCTCCAAATGACTTGTGGATTCTTTCAGTCCCTCTCTGACTTCATCCCACAGGCCTCAAGGTCAGGCCTGGGTCTCTCATTGACTGTTTTTTTAACCTTTGATTTTGAGAAATTATTGATTCACATGTGATTGTCAAAAATAATATAGTGAGATCCTGTGTACCCTTCACCAGGTTTGCTTAGCAGGAAGGTAACATTGGTATAGTCCATCCACCTTCTTCAGGTTTACCAGTTTTATACACACTCTTAGGGTATGTGTATGTATGTATATATGTGCACATGAACATTTAGTTCAATGCAATTTTATCACATCTGTAGATTCATGTGACTGTCACCACAGTCAAGTTACAGAACTGGTCTAGCACAAAAATCTCCTTTGGATTTTTATTTTATGTATTTCTCTGCAGTGCTGGAGGTTGAATCCAGGGCCTGTGAATGCTATGTGAGCATTCTACTACTGAGTTATACCCCCAAACCTCCTCAGAACTTTCTATTTATTTATTTATTTTGGGATGTCACAGATTGAAACTAGAGGAGCTCTACTTTTATTATTATTATTATTATTATTATTTTTTTTTTTGATACAGGGCTTGCTAAGTTGCTGAGGCTAGACTGGAACTTGAATTTCTCCTGCATCAGTCTCCCAAGTCACTGGGATTACAGGATTTTGTCAGGCTCCTATGGAATTTTACAAAGTCTTGTCTTGATGTTTCTCAGAGTACAACCCTTAGACACATCAGAGTCAGCTGGGCCTTGTGTTAGATGGGCAGATTCCTGGGTCCTCCCAGCCTCTCCACTGAACCAGGTCTCTTGGGATGCAGCCTTTCAGCAGGCACCATCCTTGGAGGATCATTGCTCTGGTTAGCCACGTTCCCTGATCCACCCTCCACACTGTGGCTGCCAAAGGCATTCTCCTAAAACACTGACCACCCACTCCCTATGGTAGAGCCCTATGGTTGCACCCCTGCTCTCAGATAGAGACCTTAGCAACCAAAGCCTTGTCTGGCCAGCCCCAGATCCCTTACTTTCACTGCCAACCCACCATGGGCAATCCCTCCAAACCTTTCTGATTCAGAACTCATTCTCTTCTTTCATCGTGCTCTCATTTTGCTCATGCTGTCCCTCTGCCTGCAATGTCCTTCCCACTCTTTTCTGCCTGTTGCAACCCTATCCAACTAACTACTATTAGTGCAGATGAGGACTTGGAGGCTGAGAGAGGTTTGGTGTCACCCAGTGGGAGAGGGCAGGACCGCTGAGAGACCCAATCCACTAAACTGCCAGGCTCCTGGTCTTACTGTTGGCCAGATGTAATGGAGGTGCTGGGTGGCCACTGGTCCTTCCTGCTGGGCAGTCTGCTCCCTCCACTTGAGAGGTGGAGGTGGCCTCTCCAGCCTTCTCTCCCGTCTTCCTTTCCTCCAGCCACCAGCTGTGTGAGGCTGGGGCTCTGGGACTGAGAGGAGGGAGGAAGGGAAATGGGACTGAGCCCAGGGGTAACTTGATTCCCCTGCGTGGGGCTGAGGTGGTTGGGGGACAGGCACCCCATGAAAGAGGGGGCCTGGAACCAATCCCCAAGGATTCATTTGAGCCAGGGCTGGAAGACTGGCGATGGGGGCTCCTGGAGGGAGAGAAGGAGCCGATGGAGTCCAAGTCCCCTCCTTTGCTGCCCCCTCCCTCCACAGTTCCCTCACAACGCAACCCGAGCCGGGGGGCCTAAAAATAGCCCCCGAGGCGCAACCGCGGCCGCCCTGGTGACCTTCTGGGTAGCACAGGCCGAAGGCGGGCGGGCAGCAGGAAGGCAGGCCGCCGGCCCCCCAGGACTCGTCTCCCAAGTCACCATCCTCCCGGGTGTCCCGTGGGCGCCTAGATCCAGCGTCCCCAAGCCCAGCTCGCAGAGGCCATGCAGAAAGCCCGGGGCACGCGAGGCGAGGACGTGGGCACGAGGGCACCCCCCAGCCCAGGGGTGCCCCCGAAGAGGGCCAAAGTGGGGGCCGGCGGAGGGGCCCCGGCGGCCGGGGCCGGGGCCGGGGCTGGGGCTCCCGTCTTCCTGCGACCCCTGAAGAACGCGGCGGTGTGTGCGGGCGGCGACGTGCGGCTGCGGGTGGTGGTGAGCGGGACGCCCCAGCCCAGCCTCAGCTGGTTCCGGGATGGGCAGCTCCTGCCCGCGCCGGTCCCCGAGCCCAGCTGCCTGTGGCTGCGGAGCTGCGGGGCGCAGGACGCCGGCGTGTACAGCTGCAGGGCCCAGAACGAGCGGGGCCGGGCCTCCTGCGAGGCTGTGCTCACTGTGCTGGAGGTCGGAGGTAATGGGGAGGTGGGGCCATCCCTGTCGGGCTGGGGGGAGCTGGAGTAGAGAAGGGTTGCCCAGGCCACGTGGGCCAGGTAGCGGCTCCTCCGCCTTCTTCCCAGGTTCCCAGGCTTCTCAGCTGTGCAGGCCCCAAGTGCAGATCCAGAGGGAAATGCAGGGAAAGGGTGTCAAGGTGCAGAGGCTCCCCCACCGAAAGGTCAGAGGTCAAGGGTCAGCAGTTGGTGAGCCCAGCTTGAGACCACACTGGCCTTTTGGGGAATTCTGTAGTGGAAGCCCTCCCAGCTCTCCTGTAGAGAGAGAAGCCTCTCTGGAGAAATCCTCTTCTTCAGCTCCAGGAACAGACTTGAGAACCAGGCCATGAATCCTTTGCAGGTGTGTGCCTGTCTGAAGGAGGGGCCAGTTCCCCGGGGGGCCAGGCTGCACTGTGGAGGGGATGGGCCACTGCTGTGGCAGGGCTGGTGTGATCAGCACCAGGCAGGGCGGAAGGGTCTGGGACATCAGGAGGTGGAGCCGGGGTGGATTGACAATCACATGCATGCATGTGTGGAATACTTGCGCAGGCCGTGGAGCGCTGGATCTGTGTGGTGATACAAACAGATGTGGGAAAGGGGCCGGGAAAGGTGGGGTGGAAAACCTGTGGACCACATCCACTAAGGTTCCAGAGTGAATTTGGGGAGGCATGGAATGGGGATGTTCTGGGCAGTCCCTTGTGGAGGTACAGTTCCAGGCTGGTGGTCTGAGGCAGAAAGGAAGGACAGGGGCCTGGGCCCTGTGCTTGTGGTTCTGATGGGCCTGGTGGGAATTCTCCTTGGGTCAATATTTGGGCTTCTGTTTTTATTTTCTCATTTCCTGAGTTAGCTGAATGGTTCTTCTCTTGGTCAAAGGCAGAGCCTTGGGTAGAAAACAGAATTTTGAGGAAGTAGAGTTTGGGGGAGATGGCAAACAACTGGAAGGAGGTGTCACTGTTCCAGGAATTTGTCAGAGGACATCTCAATCCAGTTGGGTGGTCTCCTATAGGGGCCAATCCTAGGAACCTGGGGAGGAGACCCCAGGATGAAGGGAAGACCTCAGCAGCTAGAGGAAAAAGGAGACTGGGAAACAGCTCTCAGCATCTCCTCTCCCAGCCTGACCCTGATCACTTCCCAGGGTCTCCAACTACTGGTTCCTCATGGTCTCTGTGGCCAGACCTGAGTAAGAGAAGGCTAAGGCCAACTTCTCCTGATTGGCTTAGCCACTCATCGGGTACAGGCTTCTCCAGCCTGGGGTGATGGAGTGGAGTGCATTCTGAGCTGGGGAAGGACTGGACTTACTTAGCTCTGGTCCCCTCAGGAGTAAAGAGTGCTGAAACAACATAAATCAAAGGGTAAGTTATGTACCTTAATGAGAACAGGTGTAGGAAGGGAGAGGTATTAGGTAAGATGAAGGAAGGACAGAGAAAGAGCAGTGGTATAATGTTTGTTTAATGTTGGACAGGTCCACAGAGAACTGCTGCTCCAAACGCTTCCTTTACAGGTGAGGACATTGTGGACCAGAGGGGAGGGAGATCTACCTAAGACATGCAGCTAGGTATGGCCATCCCATCCCAGGCTCTTAGTTTTGGCTCTGGGGGCTCTTTACTAAGAAGTTCTGAAAAGTAAGAGAGAGGGAGAGAAAGACTGAGTGAGCCATGCAGTATTTGGGGAGTGTCTGATATGGTACAGGCCTGGAATTTCTTAAGATGGGAGTCTCCTAGTCTTCCTGGTCCCTCCAAGTGCTTAATTATCAGGGTGACATGGTGGGCAGAGTTCAGCTCTGGCTGGGTTTAACTAGACAGAGGCTGGGGACAGTCTCCAGTCTGGGCTGCTCTGATGAATCGCAGGTTTGAAGGTTGTGGGTGAGGAAAAGGCCCCCGGTGCTGTGGGGCTGGATTTGGGGCCTTTGACATTCATGTTAGAATCAGAAGAGGATTGGGCTGCAGCATGTCACATATGAGAATATGTCCAGATTGTACAGACAGAAGACAGCACAACAAACGGAAGCCTCATTCCATCCCGCTGGAAAGAACCAGGTGGTTAACAATTATACCCTTCTCCCATGATTTGGGGGAGAGAGGCTTGGCTTTGGTGATGTTGGGAGATTCACTGGATGAGTCTGGCTTCCATTTCCTTCTATTGGCCACCCCTCCACCAGTCCCTTCCCAGTGACAGCTCTTGAACAGAGGCAGCTGCACAAATATCTCAGCACTGCTGAGACTTACTCATGGAAAACTTTCTTGGTTGGAATCAACAGCAGGATTCAGGGTACTCGAGGAAGCCAAGCAAGGACCTGGCTGCAAAGAGAAGGAGGCAGTTTCCTGGCTGAGATTGTTCTTTGGCCCAGCGAGACAGGGTGATGCTAAGAGTCCTGGCAGGCTCAGGATGGATGGGTATTGGCTAGGCCCTGAGAGGTTGGGTCCTTGAGGTGATGAGTGGGCTGCAGGCTGGGGAGTTTGGAGGGTGTGAGAAACTGGGATGGTAGTGATAGGATTTGGGGATATAGAAATGAGGAAAAAATGGGAGGTGAAGAAAGTAGAAATGCAGGATGTTTATAAAGTCCTTAACTGTGTAAGGCACTCTATCCCATTTAATTATTTAATCTTCCAAACCCCAGGTTATTATTATGACAGTTAGTCATAAAAACAACTGGGGTTCAAGGAGAAAATTTACCCAAGGTCTGTCACATGGCTGGTAAGGGGGTAGGTTTGGGTTTGAGTCTGTAAGTCTGGGTCCACACTGCCCCCTCACAGAAAGAGATGGGTGGGAAGGCTTCAACAAGATTCATTATCATGAACATCTTTCTGCTGTCAACATGGCAATCTACCTTCTGATCTAGTCTCCAGCCGAGGCAGGCATTCTTTTCTTTCAAAACACCAGGTTTCCACCTGTACAAGCTGAGGAGCCATATGTAGATTAAGTGACTAAGTGACGGGAACAAGTGCTACCCTCAAAGCTTGGGGCATACGTGGCTGCAGGGGAAGCCTCTTTGTAAGGGGGTAAGAGGGAGAAGGCACGGTTGAGAGGAGGGGCAAATGAAGGATGCCTGCCCATGTGTTAGCTGGAGTTTTGCACAGGGTCTGAGGGACTTTGGTGTCAATCATAAGGTCAACAGATGGTAATGAACCATTCTGGGGACGGAAGGTATGAAGGGCAAAGTTAGAGATAGGAAGAGAGAGTCAGTTTAAGCAAAGGAAAGATAGGGAGTGCAGCAGAACTCATGTTAAGAAATATTCTGCAATTTCATCATCTTTTATTTTCTGGAATTTGAAGTGAATAGATGAAAACCCAGGAGGAAACTAGTATGGAGCTGGGAATGGGTATGGAGTGTTGCTATCCATTCATGCCAAATGCCAATCAGAGAGAGGAGGAGGGGCCAGAGTGTGAGCAGAAGGATGGCCTGGGAGGGAAGCAAGAGAAGAGCAGAGAGGAGCAGTGAGTCAAAGCCTTTGCAGGAGACACTGTGCTGATCAGAGCAGATCCTTCCAAGAAGCTCTGGGTAGAATCAGGAGGGTGGTCACTTCTCCAACTGTTTCTTAGAAAAGGATCTGGGTCAAGACAGAAAAGTGGGGACAACTGGATGAAGAAAGCTATTCTAGAAGATCCATTGTCCCCCTCCCTAGCACTCCTTATCCCACCCCACCTCTGTAGCTCTACCACCATTTATTCCCATATTTATTGAGTGCCTCTTATATGCCAATTACTGTTTTAGGTACTTGGAATACACGAGTGAAGAGGAAAAAACTAACATTCATGTCCTCCTAGAGGTTACTTTCTAGAGAAGAGAGACAGACAATATACAACAAATGTAGTAAATAGGTAAATTATACAGAGTGTCAGAAATACAGAGCAGGGTAGTTAGTGAGGGAGGGGAAAGAGGGAGAAACTGAATGGAGGCAGAAAAGAGAGGCAAAGGGGAGGAGAGTGGGTGCCTGCAGCTCAGAGGAGTGTCTTCTTGAGAGATCAGGTATGGCACAAGGACTTGGATTTTCTCTAGCTAAGGGGAAATGCTGGCAACATGGAAATGGGAAACCTGAGTTTGGGAAGTAGCAGGAGAGCACAGCTGCCAGCCCAGGAGCAAAGGAAAATGGGGCAATCTGGGGCAAACGGCAGAGGCCCACTCTGAGAGCATGTCCCAGACCAGCACTTCAGCAACACAGGTCCAGGGCAGGAGCACAGAATCTCCCCACCCCTCCTAGGCCCAGCTGTCCCGTCACTCACGCCCGCTGCTCATTGGTTATTTTTGCTACGGAATGTGCCAGCCCCTCGGATTCTCCTGGGGAGCAGAGGCTCAAGTTACCCCCTCTCCCATCTCAGCTACCCCATCTGGGTGGGACATCTGGGGTGTCCAGGGTCCTTTGGCTGGAAGCAGTATGGACAGACACACATGCTCTCTCAATGCGCATCCCTGTGTATGGATCTGTACTTGACACACTTGCCACTGACAGTCTGGGACACAAGAACACCTGTATGTATCTGGAAGGTATAAGGTGTGACCTTAAACTTAAAAAAAAAATAGGGTGCAAACTCAAATAACTTCAGGGGCCAAACAGAAACTGAAATGTGGGCGGTGCTATTGTTAGCTGCTGACTTTGAGATGCTTGTGCCACCCCAAATATTGTGCAGGTTGAACAAAACTCATTAGTCTGACTCTGAATTTATTTTAGTAACCAGGCTTTAAAGCAATAAGTTTAGAAGACACACTGACCAATCAGCTTGTGATGCTTTATGGCATAATGGTCAATCATCCAGTCATAGAATCCTGGCTCCCTCTATCCTGGCTGTGTGAGCTTGGGCAAATGTCTCCATGCCTCAATCTCATTCCCTGCTGTGAAGACTATATGAGTTTTTTTCATACAAAGTGCTTAGCACAATGTCTAGTACAGACCAAGAGTGCAATATTTGTTAACAGTTACTTAGTACTGTAGACACTAAACCATTTAACATGGTGGGATGAGAATTTCAATCGGAAGACTTGCAGACTCAGAAGCTGTGTGGCTCTGGCTAAGCCACAGGAACTCTCTGAGGCTTGTCAGTGAAGTGGGGATGGGAATGCTCATAAAAGCTTCAAGCTCATGGGGTTGCTGTAAGTGTTGCATTTATAAAATGTCAGGTACTTGGTAAATATTAAAGAAATCTAGCTACCATGATTATTGAGAAGGACGGAATAGAATTTGGTTTATGTAAAGAGTTCATGGTGCTGAGTAGGATGATGGGGGTGAGGATAGGGTGGGTGGGGAGGGAAGTGGGGGGAACAAAAAAATCTGTTGAGGGCTGGGGATTTAGGTCAGTGGTAGAGGACTTGCCTAGCATGGAGGCTCTGAGTTCAATCCCCAGCCTGACCCAAACAAACATCTGGTGAGTGTGCCCACTCTGCGAATAAGAGTAGTACCTCTGGGCACCTTAGTGTGTGTGTGTGTGTGTGTGTGTGTGTGTGTGTGTGTGTGTGTGTGTGTGTGTAGGGCATCAAGAAATTCAAGGCAAAGGGAGGAAAGCCGTCTTAGGCTGTCTTGAGGATCCTGGGCATTTTATAGCCTGGGTCCGCGTCAGCAGGGAGCCCCCATCCCCAAGAACCCTTGAGTATGACCTAGGCGCCCCCACCCGGCGCTCTGTCCTTCAGTGATTTGGGTACTGCCTGGCACCGTCTGCGTGTGCGCATGTTTGCGGAGTGAGAGAGTGGAGATGCTATTGACCTTCCAGGGCCGCCGGGCTGGAGGACGGAGGAGACGCCCTGGAGGCGGCTTTGGGCTGCCAATGAGAGTGGCCTGAGCAAGGGGCCGCTGCACCCCGCCCTTTCTGTGCCTCAGTTTCCCCATGTGCCCAGGGCCCGGGAGGCAGATGCGGGTGGAGTGGGGGCTGTCAGCAGCGGGAGCTGTCCTGTGGGCGTGCGGGAAGGCAGGTGAGGGCCGCCCCAGGGGACGCAGAGGGGCAGGAAAGGGTAGGGGCGCCAGGTGGGGTGCAGGCTTGCAGGAGAGGGCGGGCTCTGGGCGCCGCCGCCGCCTTCGCTTTACCCCCGCC